GAATTTATAAATACCATATATTGCCATCTTTTTATCGTAATAAATCTATCTACACAATCAATATCTAAATATTAACCATTAATATTATAGATAATTGAGTTTTAATAATTGGATTTCTTCTCCTTTTTTTTCGAGTATAGCTGTTTGAGGAAACAAATTATCCATATGAGTTTAGAGCCATAGAATACTTTAGCTTTTTGTGAATTTCCATAAAATATTGAGTTATAGATAGACATATACAGGATCTTTTGTTTGTAAACTAAAATTTTGTAGTTGCTAACAGTACATTGAAAAATAATCTAAGCTCTTTATCTTATATGAACTCATCAAATATAGTAATAAAAAGATTACATAATTTGATCATCTTATGAAACCAATTATCATTTACAACTCATTACTATTGGGAACCATTAATTAATCAGAATAATTTGAATAATATCTTTTATAGTGCGAATAAACTTAAATGACAGGATCACCTGGTAATAATCACAAAGTGATATTCCTGTCCAATGATTATTTTAACTTCTTTTTCTCATTTCAAAAATTCTATGTTGGTCTCAAAATACTCTGAAAGCATTGGATAAAAATAAACTGGGCTCATCAGCACACTGTCAGTAATTGTTTGATTCATTCAGATGAATATTCTTCAAAGTAATTTAAACCAACATCTTGGGCAAAATCGGAAGCCAAGTACGTAGATGTTATCGGATGAAAAATTGAATTTGAAATAATATCAGTGATTGAAAAACTCTAGAGTATTACTGGATAAACTAGTCTCAGTATCTTCATGGAAATAATCAAAGTTTAAATTACCAAAAGTAAATAAGGTCTAAAATAAGTTTATAGAAACATATGTTCAATCATTACCAAGTGACAGTTTTGTGTTCGATGGCAATATGAGTTGTTATGGAGTGAAATGCTTGTAATATATGAAGAGTATATAAGTAGGTGTGCATATGTGTGTCCTACTGTAGTTTAAATGCAATAAATAAATAAAGCTTTTGATTAAGGCTACTGTCTAACTGATCATTTTATTCCCAATAAAACTTTAAGTACATATGAGTAAATTAGATTTTCCATAGTATGTGATGCTTAAGATTAGTTACATGATGAGTTTTAATGTTAAATTAAAGCAAATATAGTCAAATCTCAACGACATAATTGACTAAACAGTTAGACATTCATTGTTGTTAGAGTGATGTTATAGGTGATATAAATGCTACTGCGCTTTATATCAAGAAACGGCTATCATAAAGTACCTGACTTCATTCCTTCTCTTTTATCTAGATTGTATGTATACAAAGCTTCGTCTGGTAATCTTTCTGAGGTATTTTTATTTTGTCAAAGTAAATCCTGAAAACTGCTTCTAACAAATCTAGCACAGATCCACTATCGGTTATCAAGCTTTTTGAGGTCTTCTGATGATCTAGGAATCTGTTTACAATAATGCTTAGTTAGTTTACCCGTAAATTCAGTTACCTGAATGATTCATATAGACATCATTACACCAGCTGCTTTTAATATCATAGACACCTTGATTGTTCCTCATCAGGAATTCTGTTCGAGGTTTTCACTAATGCCGGTCTAACTGTATCACCAGCACGAACATAAACTTTTACATAACATTTGTTTAGATTTCTTCGAAATTCCTTGAATGTTTCTTCATACCAAGGAACACTAACCTTTGACTGAAGGGTATGTAAACTAGACACCTCTCAGAATGTGTCGATTTTAAGAATACACTAGCTTTCTCACGACTGCTATATCTTTCTTTGATCAAACAATCATAGAGTGCTAGTTTGTAATCAGTCGATTCGATCTCTCTTGCCAACTTAGTACCATATGACATAATGTTTACCTTTTCAATTCATCCTTTTTATTTATCTCGCTCAGTAAAAAAGAAATGTGATTGATATGCAGTTACCAGATGTTTAGTAGTTTCGAACATTTTATGACTGGATTTATTTCTAAAGAATAAATGTAAAAAATTGTTCGAATCCGTGACTTTGGGGACTCACAGTTCCTATATTTTTGTGTCGATTCATATTGCATCCGACAGTAAACTAGGTAATAACGTACACATAATTCCAAGCACTTAATATTTTTAAGGAGCTTGACAGCCAAAGTAAAGTCGTTATATTCTATCCATTACTATCTCTCAATAGATACATTGATGAATACAAAAGTAAACATCAGAAGGAGTTTTGTGGATAATACAGTAATTTCAACAGTTCAGATCATAAGCCAATTAAAGCTAGACCACCATAGAAAACCTGGAAGCACTGGATGGCCGTTTCGTCCTGTTGTGAGAAGCAGTGACCAGTGGAGTTCAACCGGGTCTGTTGTGAGATAGTAACTCACTGATGACAATGGTGGATGTCACACAATTTCATAAATTAGTTGAATTTAGACATCAACACCGTTAGATGCCGGCTCAGTGAACTAGTGGTTAGGCATTCGCGCTCCAGACTGATAAGTTCTGGGTTCAAATCTCGCCAGACCAGATCGTGGATGCGCACTGGTGAGGAGTCCCACATTAAGATGAAACAGCCATCCAGAGCTTTCAGGTTTTACATGGTGATCTAGCTTCAATTGGATCATGATCCCAACTATTGAAATTACAAAAATAAATGAAAACTTATCATATTTTTATTATCAACCTGATAAATTGAATTGAATATATTCTCTAACTATTTTCTACGAGAATATATCAATGTTATGTCTTAGTATTTATGATCGCTTCCCAATTAATCGTGTTAATAGAAAAAAGTTATTTTTCATTAAGCATTTACATGATAGTGTAATTAACACTTTAAATGTCATGCCATTAAATAATCAAGTTACTTTTCACTTTATCTAAACATGTTTACCGAAGCTTTTAGTGACAAAGCTTCATTGAGTTGATCAATTTTTGGTAAATATCATATATTTTATGCATTCCATAAACTATTATTTTTTTTAGATATACTATAAACAAAATGTTACTACTTATGTTAGTTGTTGTTACTGTGATTCAGACTAAAAATAAACATTTTGCTTTCTGAAACAACTAACATATCTACGATGTATTTTGCCCTTAACTTGGCCATTTTTTCGGATTATTAATTTGGATATATAACTGTCGAACCTGATGAGAATTTATCGAAAAGAATATTCTTCGTTCAAATACTAGTCTTTTAATATGACTGGGATCTTTAAACGATATGTATGACAGTCAACAATCTTTACAACCTTATACTGATACCTATAAAAGTCGATTAAACTGTAAAAAGATAATGATTATACATTTGAAGATACACATGAAACTGAATACAATAAAATCTAGTTAATTTAAAACCATATGAATAAGTACAATTGTACTTTGATCAATATATAAACGAATGTACATTTATATGACTGACATGAATTGATTCTAACTTCATCCCATTTTCTTCCTATTTCTACTTAATTTACATCCATATAGTTTTTTTTAATTATTCCATATTCTTGTCACTAGGTCATAATATATGACCATTGTAGAAAAATTCAAATAGTGGGATATACTAAAGCTTTATATAATAAAAAAATTATTTGCTTTTATCCAAAATACTTAATCAACTGTCTCGTATGTTTAGTATTATTTCTTTCGTTATACACAAAATATATTTGAAGTTCATTAGAAGATGCTGTGATTTGACCTAAACAGTATTCATAGACAAGAGTTAAAAGAAGCTGCTCCGCATTGTAGATATTTATGTTGCTCTAAATAATTCTACATTTATAAAGTTTAGTGATCATGATCGATAAATGTGTTGAAGGTAACTTGAAATATAAGTCAGAATCAATTGAATATGTGTATATATTATTTATTAACCCAGGATTTTCAACTGATAAGTTTGACTTATTACACAGTGATAAGTTTCATGAATAACAAAATTTCAAGCTTTACATTAAGCTAAAAGGTTTATATTACTGTGTAGAAATAAATTAAATTAACTAAAATAATAAATACATTCATTCAGTGTTTATCCTAAAAATGTGTATTTCACGTTTGATTGTAATTAGATTTAATTAAAAAGTACATAACAGAAGAACATGATTAATATGTAGACCGAATCAAAACCAGTTAAACATTAGCTGAAGTAATAAAACATTAATTTACCCCCTACTGAAAAGGATTGCTTAGTTAGTACACCTAGTGCAATACAAAACACATAAATTTATCAACTAAGCTAGCTCCTAATTTTGAATTCCTAAGCAAATGTTTTTCTTTTCAATAATTATCAGTCAGTAATGAAGTAAAACTATTTTATATTATAATGAACGATTCGCTTTTTGATATTAGTAAAGTAACAGTAGACATATTTTATAGTTCACTAGACAAACTGATCAACCAAAATTGAATTGTTCATATGAACTTACATTTCAAATTCGAGTTTATAATGATTATCTGTGGCACTTATGTGTTTTATAATCTTGTCTAACAGTGAATATAACATTAGTAATTTATTAGTTGTTCATTGACATATACTAGAAAGAAGGAAACTTCCTACTTCTAAATTAAATTGTACCATGTCAGTAAATCATTAGTTGATTTAGTTTAGGAGTTTGTATAAATTAGATGGGCAGATACACTAATTCACAGTTATTTTCACAAATTTTTCAATTTAATAAGTTGGTAAGATATGTATAATCATTGTAATAACACTACACTGCCTACTTCATTCTGATTTATTCTATTCAATAGCTGCTAATTTGTATCATATATCATCACTTAATGATATAATTCACCTTTAATTTTGATATATATTTCCTACTTAATTAAATTTCATAAAAGATGAAATATATTTGTATGACCTATTCTTATACTTTTTCAGAAGTATATGCCGTCTAAAAAGTGGAACGACATGTAAAATGATCAATTTAAGTACATCCGAATAAGAATATTTTCATAATCCTTTAAAACAATGTCTTGAACTACTATTCATATTTTTTATACGAAGACATTGAATTATGATTTGATGGATATGAAACAAACGATTTCTACACAAATGGAAAGTTACTTGGATAAATATAATGAAACTAAAGAGATTGAATCACCATGTCAAGAAGTAAAACAACCAAATATAATCAATGAAGTAAATGATTTAACAACTATTAAATGTATACATTCAAGTTTACAAGATGAATTAAACTTAACATTTTTCAATCAAAATCAGTCATTAAAAATAAATCATAAACATATTAAAGCGCCTAAATTAAATTATAATCACCGAGTGAAAAATAAACATTTAAAAAATCAATATTCTAATCATGAAATGAATCGAATTTCAAATGAATTATCTTCTACATCATTATCACCTTTACCAAATGAATATAATTCATCTTTATTAACACAAATTAAACGTCAATTTAGACAATTTTGTGAAACAACTTCATTACGTGGTGTTCCAAGAATTGTTAGTACAAAAGATTCAAAACGTCGATTTTTATGGCTTATCTTTGTAATTTCATTTTTTATTGGTTGTATCACATGTTTAACATTTATTATTAGTCAATATTTAGAATTTGATGTAATTCATCAACCTAAAAAATTATATGATCAACCACGTCCATTTCCATCTGTAACATTATGTAATCTACGTCCATTTTCTACACGTGATATAAGAAAATTAAAAAAAGCTGGAGTGTTACCAGTAGATATGTATTTTGAAATGTTAAAACGTTTTATGATCAGTGTACCAATGGAATACCGACGTTATTTAACTATGCTATGGGATTTTTCTACCTATTTAGCTAATCTACCTGATTTAGTTGATGCAAATAATTTAGGTCATACATTAGAAGATATAGTGAAACGTTGTTTTATTTTATATAAAACAGGTAGTGTAACAAGAGGTACAGCCTGTGAAAAATCAGGTTATTGGACTAAAACACAAGATCGTGTATTTCATAACTGTTATACATATACAATTAATCCAAATAAAACAAACACAGCATTAAACATGGAACTTGTGGTTTATTTGGATAATTTAATTGAACAAACTGATTGCTTTGATTGTCAAGTAAGTAGTTTTCATTAATAAATATTAGTTCATTATAAAGTGTATAATCATCTATCATTTAACTTGTTTCTGTTGTATTTGGTCGTCGCTGATCACTTATACTCAGAAAAAGGGACCAAGGAGATTCCCGCGATGCGAAAGTAAGAACACAAGACTGATATAAGTGAAGATTTATTATTCCCAAACACTATGACAACGACGAATCAAAATAGTCTAAAATACACTGGTTTATATTATTGATTTTACACCCATTTTGATTAATAATTAGAATTAAATCATAGACTCAGTTATAACAAATCCCATACTGGGCATAGTTCAGGTCAAGTGAATACAAGAATATCGTATATTATACAGAAGAAAATATCATACTGGGGAAACAATCAAATATTACACTAAATGACCCTCAAGTTGAATCAAAACGGATATAATGTTGAATAGAACTCATAATGAGTAATTCAATCGAAAATTTACTTTTCTTTCCATCATATCAAACAATAATTAATCTACTGGGTATAACTCGAGTCCTAACAGTTTCAGTGTGTTATACTATATGGACAATTTCGAAAGTTCGCTTTCTCAATACTTTATTGCTATTGGCAATTCATTGATCAAGTTATATAGAGTTATCAGAAAGAAGATTTGTGGAGATTGTAGTGATTTTAGTAGTTGAATTCATTAGTCGATTTAAGCTCGACCATTACTGAAAACCTAGAAGCACTAGACGACCGTTTCATTCTATTATGGGACTCCTCAGCAGTGTTTATCCATGATCCCATACGTGGGACTCGGACCCATGACCATCGGTAACTCGTGAGAACACTTAACCCACGGACCAGTGAGCCGTCTAGAGCTTCCAGGTTTTTAATTGTGGTCTAGCTCAGATTGAATAATGAATTCAACCATTAGAATTGCTACAAAATTCACATATCCTTTTTCTGATAATAATCATGTGCTCACTAGTGACTAGCATTAAGATGGGTTCCCTAGAGTCCTAGTAAGAAGCCGTGACCAGTGAAGTCCAATCCATGTCGAGTGTAGACAGCTATCCACCTCAGACAGTAGATGAAGGGCTGGGAAATATCATGAGTCGACTGAAATTAGACATTAACATTTTGGATCCCTGCCCTGTGGTCTAGAGGTTAGGCGTTCGCGAGAGTGAAGTTTCTAGTTTCCAGTCCTACGTGTGGGATAGTCGATGCACACCTCTGAAGAGTCCGAGAATGGGAAGAACCGGCCATTCAGTGCTTCTAGGTTTTGAGTGATGGTCTACCTTAAATCAACTCATGAATTCAACTATTAAAATTATATAGAATTACATTTATTTGACATTCAGAAAATGATCCGGAAATAAAATACTCATTTAATTTGTCTTTATTTGAGAGATTGTTAATCCAACTATTAGTTATGTAATTATGAATGCATTTTGTGAAGGAAGACAGACTTAATTTGTAAAATAAACTTAATGGAAATTAATTTTACGTATTGGGTTTCAAAGAATTTCTACAGAATAATAAATGCCATCTGAATAAAACTAAAATCCTCCACCTGTAGCTCTTCTAGAGTTACTCCTGGTCTCAAGCCTGAGTAAATGAGGAGGGTTAGGCATATGGTTGGCAACAACATCTCATAGAAATAAATTTTTCTAAATAAACGCCAACCAGATTAAACAAAGCGAACCATTAAAACTCTGCCCTGAGAGTTGAAGGAAGAATTATGACGCCTCATGATAAAAACCAAGATTCTTTAGAAGTCACGAGTCTGTTGCATTTTCTGACAACCAGAGCAACAATTTTTATAGGTATATGGAACATCCGGACAGTGTGGGAGACCGTGAGGACCCGTCAAATATCAACAAAGATGAAGAGATACAACTTGGCTGTAATGGAATTCAGTGGAACCCATTGGACCCGAGCTGAACAGCAAAAGCTAGATACGGTAGAGAAGCTGCTGTACTCCGGTCACGTAGATGAAAATGATCCGTACACTAAGGGAGCTGTTCTGATACTGTCCACAGAAGCACGTAAAGCACTTATGGAATGCGAATCTCATGAACCAAGGGTCATCAAGACATCCTTCAAAACAAAGAAGCAGGGAATCACAATGAATGTCATCCAATGTTATGCACCCATCAATGATAGCAATGGCGACAGTAAAGATCAGTTTTATGAGAGACTGCAATCAGTCATAGCAAACTTCCCAGGAAAGGACCTGGCCATCCTGATGGGAGCTTTAAACGCCAAGGTCGGAATGGAAGACACCGGATATGAAGATATCATGGGATGACATGGACTGGGTGAGAGCAACGAAAATGGAAAGAAATTTGCAGACCTATGTGCATTCAACAAATTGATTATAGAAGGCACAATATTCCCACACAAAGCTGCATGGATCTCACTGGACCACACCACAGAGAACCAAACAGATCATATCTGCATCAATAAAAAATTCCGAAGGACAATGGAAGATGTTAGATCCAGGAGAGGAGCTGACATAGATTCAGATCACCACCCAGTTGTGGCCAATTTAAAACTGAAGCTAAAGAAGAACTGGACAACTGGTTGAACATCATTACAAATGTTCAATACAGCCTTCCTTCGAGATACTGACAAACTCAATGAATTCAAGATAGCTCTCAACAATAGGTTCCAAGCCTTACGGGATCTCCTGAAAGAAGAAGAAACTACTATGGAGGATAACTGGAAAGGTATCAAAGAGGCATTGACTTCAACGTGTCAAGAGGTTCTGGGCCTCAAGAAGCATCATCATACGAAATGGATCTCTATAGAAACACTGGAAAAGATCAAAGAAAGGAAGAACAAGAAGATAGCAATTAACAACAGCCGAACACGAGCAGAGAAAGTTCAAGCACAAGCCGAATACATAGAAGCAAACAAGCAAGTGAAGAAAAGCATTAGAGCTGACAAGAAGAAATACGTGGAAGAATTATCAATGACGGCAGAAAAAGGTGCAAGAGAAGGAAATTCAAGAAAAGAGGAATAAATAGGTAGAGTAATTCAAAGAACTCCTGAACTTGTCGGCTCCAATTAATCCACCTGACATCGAAGTAGCACACGCAGATCTTCCTATAGATGTCAATCCACCAACGACGGAAGAAATTAGAATGACCATCAGATAAATCAAGAGAGGGAAAGCAGCAGGATTCGACAATATACCAGCTGAAGCACTGAAGTCAGACATCGAATGAACTACAAACATTATTCACCTTCTATTTAAGAAGATTTGGGAGGAGGAACAAGTGCCGATGAACTGGAAAGTAGGACACCTCATCAAGATTTCAAAGAAAGGAGATCTGAGCAAATGTGAAAACTACAGAGGCATTACACTACTGTCATTACCAGGGAAAGCCTTTAACAGAGTGTCACTCAACCGGATGAAAGATGCAGTAGACACCCAACTTCGAGATCAACAAGCTGAATTCCGTAAGGACCGGTCGTGCACAGACCAAATCACAATGCTGTGGATTATCGTTGAACAATCAATTGAATGGAAGTTGTCACTATACATCAACTTCCTTGACTATGAGAAGGCGTTTGAGAGTGTGGAAAAGAGAGCATTATGGGAACTATTTTCACACTATTGCGTACCTGAGGAGAGCGTCACCATCATACGAAACTCATATGACGGACTACACTTCAAAGTTGTGTTTGGAGGACAGCTGACAGATGCATTCCAAGTGAGAACTGGAGTCAGACAAGATTCCCTACTCCCCATCTTTCTCTTTCTTTTGGTGTTCGACTGGATTATGATGACCTCCACATCTGAGCGAAAGCACGGAATGCAATGGATAGCGCCGAATCGATTAGAAGATTTGAACTTCTCAGATCACCTGAACCTTCTATCTCATACACACTAACAAACGCAGATGGAGACAACTAGTGTAGCAGCAGCCTCTTCATCAGTAAACCTCAATTCACAAAGGAAAAAGAAACACCCTCAAATATAACAAGGAGAACAACAACCCAATCACACTTGATGCAGAAGCTCTGGAAGATGTGGAATCTTTCACTTACCTGGACAGCATCGTCGATGAACAAGGAGGATCGGATGCGGACGTAAAGGCGAGGCTCGACAAAGCAAGGGCCGCATTCCTACTGTGGGACCAATTTCTATAGGAAGAGGAAATTAGGAGAAGACGTTGAAAGTGGATAGGACATACATTGTGGAAATCACCAAACTGCATCACAAGGCAAACCTTAACTTGGAATCCTGAAGGGAAACGGAAAAGAGGAAGGTCAAATAACACACTACGTTGCGAATTGAAAGCAGACATAGAAAGAATGAACAGAAACTGGAAAGAACTGGAAGGTATTGACCAAGATTGGGTTGGATGGAGAGTATCGGTGGGCGGTCTATGCTCCTCTGCGAGGGGTAACAGATGTAAGTAAGTAAGTAAGTAAGTAAGTAAGAATAAAACTAAAAAACAAATTCAACATAAAAAGTTATTTATAACGTATAACGTCAGGGATGAAACATCACCTCATTATTTTCTAGTGGATACCATTTGATTTTATTTGCATTAACTTTGTTGTATAAAATAAAATAGGACTTCTACTCATATGACAACTTAATAGATATGTGGATAGATGTGTAAATTTGTTGTAAATGAAACTTCCAAATTATCTACTAATTTCGTCTAAAAATTAATGCCCTAATGGGATTTAATAATTGCTATTAGTTGTTCGCAATTAGTTCTTCGTTATTATAATGTTTTAAAATGGAAACTATTTTCTTTTATATGGAAAAAAACTTTGAACATTAATAACTAGAAAGGTCAAGTCATACGGTTAGATCTATGGTTAGTCCAATTCATTCATAGCCTTGTTTAAAGCTTTTCCTGTTTAACTGATTACTTTCAAATATGTTAATTAATAAGTAAAATTATCTACTTTTTCAACACTTCATGTTGAAACAACATTCTATGGAAGTATAAAAAGAAAATTAAAAATTCATCTTCTATCATAATAAATTGAACTCACGAA